TAAAATCAAGACATTAAAAACAATTTGCTCGACAGCACAATTGTAAGGTTCGCGTGGATCACCCAAAGGTGACCTTGCTGATATCCTTTCAAGGTCAGGTCGGAATTTCCAAGAGCAACCTTTAGTGTTTATAGGAAATAAAAAATCATGAAGTTTCACATGCGAACGTAACCTTGACTTCAAATAATAAACATTTAAGCTTAATACGACCTCAAATTAATTTCGAGGTGAAATCAAGACATTCAAAACGATTTGCTCAACACCACAATTGTGAGGTTCGTGTGGATCACCCAAGGATGACCTTCATCATACCCTTCAAGGTCAAGTCAGAATTTCCAGAAGCAACCTTACATTTTTATAGGGAATAAAAATTCATGAAATTTCACATCCGAATGTAACGTTGACCTCGGATAAAAGACATTTGACCTTAGTACGAGCTCAAAGTCATTTCAAGGTAAAATCAAGATATTAAAAACAATTAGCTCGACAGTACAATTGTAAGGTCCGCGTGGATCACCCAAAGGTGACCTTGCTGATAATCTTTCAAGGTCAGGTCGGAATTTCCAAAAGCAACCTTTAGTGTTTATAGGAAATAAAAAATCATGAAGTTTCACATGCGAATGTAACGTTGACCTCAGATAAAAGACATTTGACCTTAGTACGAGCTCAAAGTCATTTCAAGGTAAAATCAAGACATTCAAAACAATTTGCTCAACAGCACAATTGTGAGGTTCGTGTGGATCACTCAAGGATGACCTTCATCATACCCTTCAAGGTCAAGTCAGAATTTCCAGAAGCAACCTTACATTTTTATAGGGAATAAAAATTCATGAAATTTCACATCCGAATGGAACGTTGACCTCAGATAAAAGACTTTTGACCTTAGTACGAGCTCAAAGTCATTTCAAGGTAAAATCAAGATATTAAAAACAATTTGCTCGACAGCTCAATTGTGAGATTCGTGTGGATCACCCAAAGGTGACCTTGCTGATACCCTTTCAAGGTCAAGTCGGAATTTCCAAAAGCAACCTTTAGTATTTATAGGAAATAAAGAATCATGAAGTTTCACATGCGAACGTAACCTTGACTTCAAATAATAAACATTTGAGCTTAATACGACCTCAAAGTAATTTCGAGGTGAAATCAAGACATTCAAAACAATTTGCTCAACAGCACAATTGTGAGGTTCGTGTCGATCACCCAAGAATGACCTTCATCATACCCTTCAAGGTCAATTCAGATTTTCCAGAAGCAACCTTACATTTTTATAGGGAATAAAAATTCATGAAATTTCACATCCGAATGTAACGTTGACCTCAGATAAAAGACATTTGACCTTAGTACGAGCTCAAAGTCATTTCAAGGTAAAATCAAGATATTAAAAATAATTTGCTCGACAGCTCAATTGTGAGGTTCGCGTGGATCACCCAAAGGTGACCTTTCTGATAATCTTTCAAGGTCAGGTCGTAATTTCCAAAAGCAACCTTTAGTGTTTATAGGAAATAAAAAATCATGAAGTTTCACATGCGAACGTAACCTTGACTTCAAATAATAAACATTTAAGCTTAATACGACCTCAAAGTAATTTCGAGGTGAAATCAAGACATTCAAAACGATTTGCTCAACAGCACAATTGTGAGGTTCGTATGGATCACCCAAGGATGACCTTCATCATACCCTTCAAGGTCAAGTCAGAATTTCCAGAAGCAACCTTACATTTTTATAGGGAATAAAAATTGATTAAAATTCACATCCGATAAAAGACATTTGACCTTAGTACGAGGTCAAAGTCATTTCAAGGTAAAATCAAGATATTAAAAACAATTTGCTCGACAGCTCAATTGTGAGGTTCGTGTGGATCACACAAAGGTGACCTTGATCATACCCTTCAAGGTAAAGTCAGAATTTCTAAAAGTTACCTTTCATTTTTATACTGGAAATAAAAGCATCATGAAATTTCATGTCCGTCTGTAACCTTGACCTCAAATAACATTCGAGGTTGACACGACTTTGACTTTGAGATCAAGGTCAGACGTGGAATTTTCAACCTTTTCCATTTCCAGGTATACAAATGACCTTGAATGCCGAGGTCAAAGTCAAGGTGAAGCTCATTTCTGGGTCATTTTCACAAATCGTACAACTGCTCTGCCTAACATTTTTCCTAGAGCAAATTGTTAAGGTCATGATCAAGGCAATGTTTGGAAACAAAAATTTGCTCCTTTTTACGAGTATTTCCGATGTGACAACGGCAAATGTTCGTTTATGAACGTCCATATAATGTGTTTCCGAATAGATGGATAGGGTGCAATGATCCGATTTCTTGGCCTGCTCGCTTTCCGGATTTAACGCCTTGCGAGTTTTATCTGTGGGGCTATTTGAAAGAGTTGCTGTATCACGATGGAGCAGTAAATACTCTGGAAAAACTTCAACAGCGCACTGAAAATGCTTGTGATGTAATTCGTGGATACCAGGATTTTATTTTCGAAGCTTGAAAAGAGTCGTGGTTTCGCTGGGCAAGATTTTGCGTTAATCGGGGACAATTTTGAACAGTTTTTGTATAAAAGGGTAAGTTGATGATTTTTTTTAATAACTTTCAATAATGTTAACTAACTCTCTCATTATGCAACTTTTATATAGGTGATTTTTGGTATATCCACTTCTTTTGACGAATTCTACAGGCTGTTAAAATAAATGATTCATCAGTAAGAAATCCTTTAAAAAAGAACTCAAACGTTATTAATTACCTTTAATTTTTATTTTTTAATATTAGGATTTATTGTATTGACAATTCCTATACAGTACTGTCTGTCTATGGGAAATAAGTTGAATTGAACGGTACCCAGACTCAAGATTGGAACAAATCTATCATCTGCAAGTCTCAAATACCAATATCTTTTCATATTGCTGTAACGGAATCACCCTGTATAAGACCGCGATTTCACGGTTATGTATCTCAGCATTTGTTCTCATATTCGAGGTAGCAAGCGCACATCTGCCTCCCACGTATGTATATATCCCTCAAGAGCCCTTTAGGAGCGCATATCTTAATCAGACATCGTTGCCACGGTACTTCAACATTCATGCTAACGTTGAAGTACTTGGATATACAGGGTGTTCCATAATTATTGCGACAAAATGATAGGGGTTGTAGAGGGCATAAAAATATGCAATTTTGCCTTATAAACCCCTGTTCGTAAATATGCCGTTTGAGCACTACCGCTAATTTTACCTTAAGAGCTCATAGGAGAAACAAAAAATTCACCAGCTGCAAAATGTTCGTCTAGCACATTTCATGGTCTCGCCGGTTTGTAAAAAAGCCTGCTGTGTTTACATTTTTGTTATCGTAAATTCTCCACACCGATTCATTTAATTTATCTGAGTGGTGCGTCAAACTAGATAGTAAATAACAGTACCTTAGTGTTAAAATGCAGCGTTCTTCGTATGCGGAACTTGCGGATATGATTTAATTTACGAAGAAGCTGGTGGTAACGGAAGACGACCCTGGCGAATCTACGCCTAACGGTTTCCAGAACGTCCTCATCCACATCACGCCATTTTTGCAAGGATTTATGGAGTTGAGGCAACCAAACTTTGGTCGCTACGTTTTGTTCACTGACGAGTCCTGTTTTACAAAGGACGGTTATTTTAACAGCCGTAACAGTCACATTTGGGATAAAGAAAACCCTCATGCCATAGCCATCCATAGAGACCAACATCAGTTTTCAATTAACATCTGGTGAGGCATTGTGGACGAGCATATCATCGGGCCATATTTGCTTCCACCACGTTTGGATGGGCATGCTTATGGTCGATTCTTACAGCATGTGCTACCGGAGCTATTAGAAAATGTGCCACTGAACATAAGAGCCCACATGTGGTTTCAACACGATGGCGCTCCAGCCCACTTTTCTTTACAAGTGCGGCAGTATTTGGACGACAAATTTCCAAATAGGTGGATAGGCCGAGGTGGCCCTGTACCTTGGCCTGCGCGGTCACCCGACCTGACCCCACTGGATTATTTTCTCTGGGGCCATCTGAAAGCTTTAGTGTACGAAACTCCTGTTCCCAACCAACAAGAGCTACTGGGAAGAGTGATGGCCGCGTCCGCACATGTTCAGGACATACCAGGGGTATGCCACAGAGTTCGCCGATCATTGAACAATCGTGAACAGCTGTGTATTGAGCAAGGTGGAGGACACTTTGAGCAATTACTGTAGGTAACCTGTTTCAAGAAACTGATCTTTTTTTTTTGTTGCAGCCCAAACGGCATATTTCCGAACAGGGGTTTATAAGGCAAAATTGTTTATTTTGATGCCCTCTACAACCCCTATTATTTTGTCGCAATAATTATGGAACACCCTGTATATTAGGTGGCGCATCGAAAACGAAATAGACGCAGCTCAGTTTTTTTTGGAAAAACGCTCATTTCCGTCGATTTTGTTTTCGAGGGGGACACAAGTTTGGCAAAAAATCACGTTAACACGTGCAGCCTCCTGGGCGGGGGTGACACCAACCCTAAAATCTTAAATGGAAAGGGGGGTCGAGTGATACCTTATTTTAAAGGTCTTTCAATTCCCTTTATAATGACGTAAAATACATGAGCTTCAGTTTAGTAGTTTTGAAGATTTATTGATTTAAAGCTTAAAGTAGACCTTAATAGGTACATCAGATTAGTTGGTACTACTTTCAGAAGAAATTTGACTAAAGGAATTTACTTAATAAGTAAATGCTTTTGTTCACTACGCCCATGGTTTGATTATCATTTTGTGGTTGAAAATAGCTATTGTGGCATTTTTTGTGGCAAAAAAGTTATTTCTTGAAGAAAGATAAGGAAATATCTCGAACTTATGTTGAATAGGAATTTAGTACTTAGTTTGCGATTGATTTGGCCAAACTTTGTTGCTCAAATAACTTATAACGCTTTATTACATAAATTGACCATGGTATATTCCACAGCAGAAAGAGTTGAAATTATCGACCATTTTTTTTTATTAAAACACCCTGTATATTACTACTATTATTAGAATATTTTTTTTGAGTGGATACAAATATACTTCTTGTACTGTGTGGGACTTGCAGCTTGTACGCAACATTCTTCTCGAATAAAAATGCTGAAATACTTCGAAATTCAAAAATCAGCTGCTTCATCTTATCATTTTCCTCATAACTTCTTTAAACAATCCCATCTTAATTAATTACAGTCCATACTCCTTATCATCTTGCAGCTTTGTCGGGTTGAATACAAATTGCCACTTAATTTGGTAATCCCTGGAAAGTACAGCTTGTATAAGTATGTTAATTACCGTTTTCCTAAAGTATTAACATTTCAATGACCATCTTGGGTTCAGAATGACACTGGGTTGGAAGTTTAACATTTTAGTCCTCCTCAAGGCTCGGAAGTTTGTGCTTTTTAATGAAGGAGATGGCTCAGTTGATAGCTCCACGAGAAGTTATGCAAAAGCGGTGTTTAACTTTAGATATACAGGTTGTTCCAGAAATAACACGCCAGAGTGACATGGGATGTAGATTGGATTCGGATCAATCAGATAAAATCAACATGACCTTAGTGAAAGTTTTCTAGTTTTCGAGATATTGCCACTTTTAAGTTTTTCCAAAAAGTCACTACTTTTTGCACCTTCTTTGCCTATTATGACTATACAGTAGTTCTAAGTTATGATTTTTTATTCCCTGGGCTTCAATTAGTAGATGATTTCACTTAAAACTAGCACGGTATTCTAAAAGAAACTAAATTATTACATTTGGGTTCAACATTAGGTTGTATTTTTTATTTCCATTGATTCAAATCAAATAAAGAATTGGAAATCATTATTAACATCTTAAATTAACTAAATGAAAATTAAATAAGTATCTTGTAATGTAAATATTGCCTGAAATAAATGGTTATTATTCTCATGATTATTACTAACTTCACAATAGATTTTCAAAATGTCTACCACAGACTCTTATACACAAACTGAATCCTCTTAAAAATTATCCTTTTAAACGTATCAAACTTAAATCGGATCTTTTAAACATCCTCAGTAAAAAAATCCAGAGGGTTCAGGTCTGGGGAGCGTGGGGGCACAAAATTGGTCCTAGCCAGCCAATCCGTCTTCTAGGGAATGTTTCATCAAGAACCCACTTACTGCACTATCAGAGAGTGTAGGCCACCTATCATTCTGTAACCAGATTCTTCTTCTTGTATCAAGAGGCACATCTTCCAAAAGTACGCAAGAAATCTGAAATTTAAGTTTTTAAGACCATTTTCCGACTCAGTCTGGTACAATTTTTCCACAGTAATTAGTCAAACTTTAGTAAAGGTTTTCATATTGAAACAAAATGTAAAACTTTATTTTTTTTAACATACCGTGCTAGTTTCCAACGAAACAAATAACGTGCTTGTCTCAACCAGCTACTAATGGTAACCCGGGAAAAAAAAACGTAAGAAAGAGCAAACAGTAGTGATTTTTTGAAAAAGCTTAAAAGTGGCAATATCTCGAAAACTATAAAACTTTTAATACGGTTATGTTGATTTTATCTGATTGATCTGCAGCCACTATACCTCCAATGTCACTCTGGCGTGTTATGTCTAGAACACCCTCTAACAATTATATTTCAATAAAAAAATGAAAAAAAAATAATCTCATCACTCAATTTACAGATCGTACGCCACTGCTAACTCGGCGTGCCTTTGTATCCGCAAAATCGATTCGCCCTGATCCCACCGTCTTCAAAGAAACAACATGCTAACAGTGGTGTCCGATGTGTTATGCTTATGCTCTTCCATTTTAATAAGGTTTGGGTGTCGGAAATGATTAAATAAAGGATTGTTTTTAATCAGAACAATATACCTTTACTAAACATCACATAAACAGATCATATACACATTTAACGTTATCTTCTTTTCCTGTCGGGATTATGCAACCCATCCCTCACGATCAGATGTCCCAGCCTGGAATATGTGTCTTGATATTCGGAAACGCCGTAAGTCAACGCGAAGAAATCTGCCTTGCAGCTACCTGTAACATAAATAACATAAATTATGATGTGTCCAAAACGATGAAGCAAATATACGAGCCCCTTCCCACTTCAGCTGGCCCACTTCAAGATTTGTACCAAAATATGCCTGTATAAACTAAACATGACGAAACTATTTACTTCTAAAACGATTTATTTTATCAAAAACATTTTAGATACAGTCTAGTCGTAAAAAATACATATTTGAAATCACTTAGACCTATAACTAATAGAACATCTGTACAAATAAGCAATGTGCGAATAAATGCGCGAAGTTAACAAAGCAACAATTGAAAGATTACCACTGGGTAACATCAAATTTATTTTTTATTACGGCCGAAATTCTTTGGGGCATAGTGTTAACCAAGTTTTGGCAAAAATTTGGTGTAAAACAAATCCATATTTCTTGAAGCTTTTGTCTTGGTTCGGTGATTGTACGAGCAGGATGTTGTCGTAGAATCTTTTTCATCTCGTGCCCCAAAGTTTCAATGGGTGACAGATCTGGACTGCTAGAAACCCATTTCAAAAGTGGTACATTATTTTCATCCATCCATTTTATAGCCTTTTTTGAGGTATGGCACGCTTCACCATCTTGCTGAAACACAAAATCTTGGCCGGATTTCAAACATTCTTCCATCACTGGTAAAAGCGATTCTTCTAAAATTGCCAAATATTTGTTTGTATTCACGTTTCCATCAATAAAATGAAGTTTTCCTACTCCCTTTGATGACTGCTGCCCCAGACCATAATGGATGCTGGAAATTTCACTTTTCTCTTCAGACAGTCAACATGGAATGCTTAATTTTTTTTGCGAATAACTCTACTGCGACTGTAACCAACACAAACTTCGAATCGGGCCTTATCACTCCATTGTATGGCACACCATTGTTGAGGTGTCCATTGTCTATGTTCTTTAGCCCATCTAAGCCGATTTTTCTTTTGCAGTGGAGTTAATAGTGGCTTTTCTTTGGCCTATATACAAGTTGTGCAACTTTAGGGTTTTTACTTCACTTTTTTAATAAGAAGACTTGCCTTGCAAGTGCTAAATCCCAGTTTGTGGGCCTCTCTATGAGTTGTGGACTTCGAAATTCTCCTTCCAACAGCGTCACTCCACAGAGCACTTAATTGTAAATAATTGGCATGCCTGTTTTCACGATTATTCTTCTTAATGCTCTTCGGTCGGCATTTGTGATATTATATTTTTCACATATCGTTTCTTAATATTAACTGAACCAGTTACGTTATATCTTCTAGCAATATTTCTCACACTGTACCGCGATATGTCTAACAAAGTTGCAATTTCTGAGTTTGATTTCCCAGAATTAAAAAATTTAATTATCAGTAAAACTTGTAAAATTATTGATTTAATTTGAAAAATTAAACACATCAGTCAAATGAATGCTGGAAAGACGTCTTTCAAATTCTAAGCCCTTCCCAACACATTCCATACCCTAGTTTGTTCTCAGCTGTGGTCGTTGAAACCAAACCGACCATAAAATCAAGCTCCGCTTTAGATTTGAGGAAGTTAGCATAATCAGACATTAGGGCTTTCATGTTTGACGTTGAGACAACCTTCAAAGAACTGATTTAATAGTGCTCAAGGTCGATTATGACTCTATAACTTTCATGCTTTACAGGGTTTTATTCTAACTAAAGCATACTTGTACTACTTTATCCGAATATTCTTTATAACTTTTTTTTTAATAATAATAATATTTATTTACTCAATGTACAAAGATAACAAACAATATGAGTAAATAAATATAAAATCAAAACAGGCCCAATAGAAGGCATCGCCTGTACATGGACCAATAATTTAAGTTGAAACTGTAGAATGCAAATGACAAAAAAGGACAAAAATTAGCTACAGTAGATTATGTATTTAGTTGATGTTCGTATTTATGAGTTTATGAATTTCAGTCCTAGATATAGAATGTAGCCACTTTTTTAAATTTCTTTTGGAACAATTTCCGAAACGTAAATCTTTTAAGTCTTTAGGTATAATTTCATAAAATTTAGGCGCTAAATAGAGATATGATCGCTGCATTATAGATTTATGCGGTTGAGGAACTACTGTGCCACGAATTTTGTACCTGGTATAATGATTATGTTTAATTTTTTGGTCGGTGTTTACAAATTTTTGGTAGTGAGTGATACTGTGTAAGAAATAAAGCTGTCTTATATCATACATTCGAACATCTGCGTATAATTTTTCAGTTGGATAAAGTTTCGGTTTTTTAAATATCATTTTTAGAATACTTTTTTGAAAAACATCTAAATTATTGATATGCGAGGAACATGCAGCTCCCCATGCTAATATACCATATGTGAGATGAGACTCAATCAGTGCATGGTATAATGTTCGAAAATATTTTTCTGTCAATATATTCCCAAGGTATTTAATTTTGTAGGATACAAATCTAACTTTCTTTAAAATATAATTGACATGGATGTCCCATCGTAAGTGAGGATCCAAGACCACTCCAAGGTATTTTATGTTGGGCACTCTATTAATTTGCATTTTTTTATCATTAATGTTGAAGGAGAAATTTGTGTAATTTGGCAGATGTCTAGCATAAGATCCAAATGGTAAAAAATGTGTTTTAGAGTAGTGAATGCTTAATTTTCTACTGTTGAACCACCGAATAATTATGATAAAATCATTTTCAATTACATTTTTCAGATCAGACCAGTCAGTGCCTTCATATAATATTGCAATAATTCTCAAAATTAACTAGTTCGAATATTTTGGATGCATTTTCCTTACCTATGTTCTGTTCATTCCTCTTGGCGTCATCAGATTTAGGCAGACCACCACAAGCCTTTCCACCCCCTATCCTCTTCGAAATGCTGACTTTCTTCAATGGTCTGCACGGATCTCCAGGTAGCCTCACAGGCTCTGGGCACGGAGCTAAGCCTTCTACACCAGCAGCTCTTAATAGCTCTTCGTACGGAGCTGACGGGTATTCATTCTTTTTGCAGTAGTCCACCTGTTAACGAAAGTCATTAGACATTAGGAATCAGAGCTACGGATTACTTAAGATAGTATTGCATGTCACGTCATTTTTCAAATTTCCCCAATTGTTCGAAATTTTGAAATTTTTACAATTTTTAAAATTCTTCAGATACCTATTTCAAATTTCTCAAATGTTTCAAATTTTTAAAATCGTTAAAAATGCAAAAACCACATTTTTTTTCAATTTCACAGATCTTTGAAATTTCACAAATTTATATGTCCTTCAAAATCAAAATTTTCGAATTCCCCAATTTTTTAAATTTTTTCAAAATGTTATAGTCCTCCAAATTTTTCAAATACTTGAAATTGTTCAAAACTCTTTTGAGATTTTTCAAATTCTTCAAAATTTTCAATTTTTTCAGATTTTTCAAATTTTTCAAATTGTTATGATCATTCAAGTTTTCACATTTATAAAAGTTTTTGAATCATTACCTATAGACTTTCAAATTTTTATATCCTCCAGATTATTAAATTTTTTTAAAATTTCCAAATTACTTATATTTTTCAAATTTTCCAAACTACTTCAACTTATCCAAATTTTTCAGGCTTTACAATTTTTTGTAAATATTTCAAATTCCTTTTTTTCAGATTAAAATTTTTAAGTCTTTTATATTTTTAAAATTATCCATGTTCGTCATATTTTTCAAATCTTCTGGATTCTTCAAGTTGCTCAAATTCAAATATTTCAGATCCTTCAAATTTTTCAAAATTTTCAAATTATTAGAATACTTTGAATTCTACAAATCTTTAATCTCCTCAAACTTCAGTTTTTTCAAATTTCTAATTTTTTTTAAATTTCTCAAGTTTTTTAAAATTTTGAAATTTTTACAACTTTTAGAATTCTTCAGATATTTAAAATTTCTCTAATCCTTCAAATTTTTTAAATTATTAAAAATCTTCAAAAACCACAATTTTTTTAAATTTTACACATCTTAGAAATTCCACAAATTTTTCAAATTTGTATAAAATTTTGAAAATTAAAATTTTCGAATTCCCCAATGTTTTAAAATGTAGTAAAATTGTTTAAATCCTTAAAAATTTTCAGATACTTGAAATTCTTCAAAACTCTTGAGATTTTTCAAATTCTACAAAATTTTCAAATTATTAGAATTTTATAATTCTTCAAATTACTTATATTTTTAAAATTTTCCAAACTACTTCAACTTATCAAGATTTTTCCGGCTTTACAAATTTTTCAATTATTTTAAATTCCTCAATTGTTTCAGATTGTAATTTTTCAAGTCTTTTATGTTTTTAAAATTACCTTTGTTCTTCATATTTTTCAAATCTTTTGGACTCGAATTCAAGTATTTCAGATCCTTTAATTTTTAATAAATTTTCAAATTCTTAGAATTATCCAAATTCCAGAAATTTTTGAGTTTCTCAAACTACAAATTTTCCAATTTTTTCAATATATGAAGAATTTTCAATGTTTTCAAGTTTTTCAGATTCTTAAAATTTTTACAAATCTTCAAAGTTTTTAAATGTAAAATTTTCGAAATTATCCTTACTATTCAAATTTTCATATTTTTCAAATTTTTTTTTTCAAATTATTTTTTTCAAATCTTTCAAATTTGTGAAAATTTTGAGCACATTCAATTTTTTTAAATGTCTTACATTTCTCAAAGTCTTCAAATTCTTTGTATTTTTTAAATTTGTCAAATTCTACTAATCAAAATTTTTCAAAAACTCCAAAATACTTATATTTTTAAAGTTCTCCATATTATTTATTTCAAATTTTCCAAATCTTTCAGGTTTTACAAATTTTTCAAATATTTAAAATTCCTGGATATTTTTGGATTATTAAAAATTTTCAGATCTTTCATGCTTTTAGGGTTATTCATGTTTAATATTTTTCAAATATTTTAGATTCTTCAAATTCCTCAAAATCAAAATTTTCAGATTCTTAAATTCCTCAGAACCAAAATTTTCAGATTCTTCAAATTCCTAAGATTCTCTAAATTTTGCAAATCCTCCGAATTTCACAAATTTTCAGTTTTCCAACTTGAAAATTTTCAGTTTAAAAATTTTTAATATCTTCAAAATGTTCAATATTGTTGTTTTCAAAATTTATGAAATTGTCGAGATTTTTAAAATGGGTTCCACGATTTTCACATTGAAAAATCTGAAAACCTGTTATGAGAACTGTTAAAAACGTTAAATCTCCAGTTTAGGATCACTCAAGGATGCGTTATTATTCGTTCAATATAGAATGGCTGGCTCTCGGCCCTCAAGCATCAACTATAAATATGGGCTTAAGTACTCGTATATAAAGAAGATGTCTATCCATACATACCTCATAGGTGGTGGACAGTCTATCCCTATTAATCCTAGATATCAGATCATCAGGAGGGGCACTTCTCAAACACTCATAAATAAAAGGGTACTTCTCCTGCAATTTCTGCAAGAACACGTTCGGCTGATTGTACCTTGCTACTTCCGATTCAGGGGCAGACCCAACCTTCGCAGGGAAGGTCTTTGGGTCCAGAAGGGGTCCCATGGGGCCCATACGACTCCATTGCTCTTTCTCGTAGACGTCAGATCCCAGAAGCACCCTGTCACCGCCCATCACGGGCGGTAAGCAGTGACAAGGGCACATATGTTGTCCATCTCTGTCCCTGTATTGAGGTTCATAGAGTCTTTCAGGCTCAGGGCGCATGCCCAAGGTTTTCACGTAAGGCCATAGGTAGTCCTTGCGGTAGGTGGTTACGAATTGCCCCATGACCATGTTGGCGGATTTTAGGGGAACTTCTCACATGATAAAAGATATGAGGGGTCTATTAACATGAATTTTGAACTCGGAGAATTTTGAAAACGTCACCCGCGTTAATTTGACAAGCATTGGTTTCGCTGATGTGTCTTTTGACAGGTATAGCGTCAATAAAAAGGGGGAGTAGCACAGCTCAGATAACAATCTATAGTCAACGCCAAACAAAGTGGCGTGCACGTCATCACGATAAAAATTCCCCGACCTAATGCCTAGGTTTCTATCACAAACAATTGCCCTATTGCAGTTTCATATTAATGTGATATATAAATTGTAAAATGGTCGTTACTCTCTTATTATGGTTAATAGTCATATAAACATTGTTATTAAAATATCACATAAGTTGCTTTCTGATAAATTTAGACGCATTATGCGAAATAAAATGTTTTGCAAACGCTCCAATCACTTATCGACATGTAAACGCACTAAACCGATTTCGCAGCGTTGACACATTGTCACCTTGAAACTTATTTAAACTGGGAACTGACATTTGTATTAATTTTGACACTGAATCAATTTGTGGCATTTCAAATCTTTATAAATCCTTTGGCCCCGCATACTGTAAATCAACAACTGTTTGTTTCAAAACAAAATTATTCATTTTACGAGTAGATAAAGGCAATTTTGGTATATAAAGATGCCCAAACAGTTAAATAGTCGGTGTAAGGAACTCGTGGCCTCGTTAATGCACTACTTTGAGCAAGAAAGGGACAACAACAGGCCTTTGTTGCCTTTAAATGCTGTTCAAGAGGTAGGTTACTAATAATTATATGTAATGTATATTAATAATAGTGAAATTTTATTTCATTTTTTGTAGCGTGTTGCTGCTGCTTTAAAAATTAGTTTAAGGACAGTTAGTCGTATTTCCGAGGGTGTGAAAAGTGATGCAAATTTAGAATCGCCCAAGAAAAAGCGGAGTTATATTAAACGTGTAACCAACACAGCGACATTGGATACAAGTGCCATTCGAGAAGTGATCTATAATATGTATCACAAAAGTAAGATCTTATTATAATAACTTATCAGAAATTTGCATTAATTTGTTAACTAAATTATAATGTCATATTACACATGGTTTCAGAAGAACAAGTTACGATACAAACTTTATGGTCTCGATTAAGAGATAGGGCATTATTTGATGGTAGTGCCACGTCTTTAAGGCGGTTGCTTAGAGATCTTGGATTTAAGTGGCTTAAGGACAATCCGCGACGAGGGCTCATGGAACTACCAAGTATAGCTTTGAAAAGGGTGGAATTTCTAAGGCAATACAATCAAGCCAAGGTTGAGGCCTTATACCAGTTTGTCTTCCTCGATGAAACTTGGATATTTCAAAATGGGACCATAGGTCGCTCTTGGCAAAATGGAAACCAAAAAAGCGTGAAAGCTATTAAAACAGATGGTAAAAGGTATGTACTTTTACACAATTTGCACTATAAAATTTAAAACTAATATATTTTAGATACATTATATTACATGCTGGAAATGAAAATGGGTTTATTGAGGGTAGTGAAGCGATATTTTCTTCGAAAACAAAATTGAGCGATTACCATGGAGAGATGAACCAGGACAATTTTTTGAAATGGTTTCAACATCAGTTATTAGAAAAATTGGAGAGTCCATCTATGATTATACTGGATAACGCCCCCTATCACAGCATGATATTGAACAAAGTGGCCAACAATGCATGGACAAAAAAAAATATCCAAGACTGGTTGACAAATCAAAACATACGATTTTTAAACACAATGTTTAAAACAGAGCTATTGAGTATTGTTGCTCGGTACATAATGCTTCTTAATTATATATATTTTGGTCGACAGTTTATATTTCTTTTGTTTATTCCTATTCTTAAAATAACTGCTTTTTTAGAAACAAACCACCTAAAATATACGTGATTGATGAATTGGCGGAACAACATGGGCACAAAGTTTTTCGTCTGCCTCCTTACCATTGTATATTTAACCCTATTGAGTTAATTTGGGGCATAGCAAAAGGTTACTATAACAGACATATTGGTAGAGATGGTAACAGTGAAAAAGACTGTTTGGATATGTGGAACGAGGCTCTACAAACGGTTACCCCAGACATGTGGAAAAATAGTGTTCGACATACTGAGCAAGAAATTTTTAAATGGTATGAAAGAGAACGAATTTTTGATCGACCAGACATCGAACCTTTAATAATCAACTTTGAGAGTGATGAAGATTCAGATTCAGACAGCGCTGAAGAAAGAAACTCCGACTAACTTTATTGTACAGAAAAAGCTTACACCAGTAGCTTACCTAATTTTAGAATGCATTTTTCTGTATGAATTCTGTAAAATAAATACCATGCATAAAATTTGGAGGACCCCATTTGGATTTTTATTCAGTACCTTTAAGCTATCAATTAAATATGGTAGTTTCATAGTGTCATCTGATCAATAATTGTCATACTTAATGATTATGCAAGTACAGATCTATAATATTATTATACTATTATTTTTGTTCTCATTTGAGGTTAATATTGCTTATAAACCTAGATATGTAAATAATAAATTTTATTATTTTACAAAAAGTTTGCCAACAATGTAAATTTTTCAACACACCCACCTTGATGACGTGCACGCCACTTTGTTTGGCGTTGACTATATGAAACTCTTCTGTTAGTGTCAAATACAGTGGTTATTTCTGCGGAGAAAATCGCAAGTAAATTCCCCTGGTACCTGAAAGAGGTTTTAGTTTTCTTGCAACTAATTGGAATTCAGCGCCTAACGGGACACAGTTGCCTGTTATAAAGTTTCCGACGATTTAGAAGAATTTAATCCTTTCTGCTGGCACCCTCTCCGAAACGTCGGCAAACGCAGCTTCCTGTTATAAAACAGCGGTTCTTTAGACCCTAAATTGCAATTAATTACGAGAAAATTAAATAAAAAGGGATAATTAGATGAACAGTTTTCTGTAGTAAACTTAGGGGTTTTAGCGATCAGCAGCCGGTGTCTTTTAGGCATTAGAGCTAAAGCTTGTCCAAAAACCTCAGATTTGTCAACTTCTTCAAATCATTCAAATTTTTTAAATGGTTTTTCAAATTTTGCAAATTTTTCATCATTATCAAGATTTCCAGACTTTTTTAATTCATTCAGATTTTTGAATTTCTTCAAATTTTCAAAATTTTCCAAACCTAAAACTTTAAATGTTTCAAATTTTCAAAATTTTTCAAACTACCCAAGTTTCTCAAATTTTTGGAATTTTTCAAGCTTCTCAAATTTTTAAAAAATATCAGGTTACTCAAACTTTTCAAATTCTTTAGATATTTCAAATTTTTCAAAACAATGGAATTTTAAAAATTTTTCAAAATTTCAAAGCTTTTAAAATTTTTCTAGTTTTTCAAAATCTTCAGGTTTTTCAATCTTCTTACATTTTCCAAACTGACAACACACGTAAAAAGACCTGATTAATATGAAAAAAATTATGGCCTAATACATTATTAAAAGTTTCAGCGTTGCATCCTGTATATTTTTCGAGATTATTCTATACTAAGTTACATATAAATCCGAACACCCAGTTTAAATGGTTTTATTTTAATAAAATTTTGTATAAGTACTTAATGAAGCATAATAAGTAAATGATAGAAATTTCAAAATGATTGCACTGCTTTAAAGCCCTTTGACCTTTAATAATGTGTGGATGCACCCTGATGTGCTACGCATTCTCCAACGCGCCCAGGCATGCTTCTGATCAGGTGGTCAATGTCCTCCTATGGTATCTCATTCCAGACAACCACCAACTCCTCCCGAAGTGCTTCTAGAGTCTGAGGAGGACGTTGCAAATTGAGCAATCTCCTACCCATCATATCCCACACGTGCCCAATTGGGGATAAGTCGGGAGATCTTGGTGGCCATGGTAACAATGTGACATCATTATGTTGAAAGAAGTCTATTGTGACTCTTGCAACATGTGGTCGGGAATTATCTTGTTGGAAAGTTGGATCTACCAGGGTGTCAAGATAGGGTAAAAGATGGGGTTCTAGAACTTCGTGGATATAACGCTGCGCGTTCATGTTACCTCTGATGAAGATTAAAGGTGACCTGGAACCATAAGCTATAGCACCCCAAACCATAACTCCAACAGTGTGATGAACATGTCTTTCAACAAAAAACTGTGGATTCCTCCTTTCACAACGTCGCCTTCTAACCCTGGCACGACCATCGTGCATGCCTAAACAAAATCGAGACTCGTCACTAAAGACAATACTGTTGCATTCTTGATCCCAGAGTGACCGTTGTCTGCACCACTCAAGGCGATTACGTCGGTGTTCTCGAGTTAAAGGGAGGACCCAGTGTGGCCGGTATGAAAACAAGCCAAAACTTCTCATTCATCGGTAAACACTTCGCATGCCAATAGGTCTTCCGTGTTCTGCAAACCATTCATTTGCAATGGACCTGGTAGTGGAGAAACGGTCCCTTAAGGCCAATAATCTTAGGCGGCGATCTTCACGGTCTGTTGTTCTACGGCGGCGTCCAGTGCCCCTTGCTCTTTGCGTACGGCCTTCTCGAAACCATGCCTGACAACACCTAACCACAGTGTCTAAACTTCTTTGCACTCTAACTGCAATTGCCCGAAAAGAAAGTCCAGCTTCCCGAAGTCCCACTATACGGCCCCTATCAAACTCACTAAGTTGACGAAATCGTACAGGTCTCCGTACTCTAGGCATCGTAACCGATCGTAAAGGATGTCAAGAACCAAAATCCGCCAACGTTGATTCTTTACTGCGGCTGAAATATTCATTTTTAGAGCGTTAGTGAATTAACAAAAGCAGTATAAAAACCGGAATGTCCACCTGATAAGGCTGAAAATTTGTTCACTTGTTATTTACAGTAAGATAAATACGTTCACCAACTTTTATTGAAATAAAACCATTTAAACTGGCTGTTCGGATTTATATGTCACTTAGTATAATTATAAGATTTGAAGTGCCACCAACGTTGGCTTGACATTTGTCAGTGTTAAGTATAGTGGTAAAAAAAAAACAATAAACCTAATAATCTATGCCAAACATAATCTTTTATGAACTGGTGACCTCGTTATGTTGTATGCTTAGATTCAACCTACTCGAC